TAGGTACTCCGTGTAAACGCTTACCTCGACCCTTCGCCGGCTGCAGGAGTCGGCATCTTCCTCCAGCGTCTTCACTCGTGCTTACAGGCTTTTGGATATTACTTTGCCCACAAATAGACTAAAACCGTGACCTTTTTGGGTACATACGTCATCATGACCAAAACGCGCGGGCTTGCGCAGTACCGCCGCTTGCAACGCTAGCTACACCCGGACCCACGCCTGTTTGCTCGTTTCAGCTCCTCCTAGTTTCTGCTAGCTACACCACGCGGTGGCACAGCGCATCTCAGTGATCAAGTTCTTCGCCGGAGAGGACCCCGAGTCCGTAGTGATGATAAACCTGGGGATGGAGTGGGACTCTGATGTCCATGAATCAGAATCTGAGCAGATGCATGATGGTATGTTTTTTTGCACGCAAGAATAGCCCAAAACAATAAGACTAAAAAGGTTAGAGCTACTAAAAATCTTGTATATAGATCCAGAGCCAATCCCTGCTGCCAGTAGTCCGGGAGAAATGGAGAACTCAGAGAGTAGTGAGAGTGATATGGACTGGACGAACGAGGAGGATGGCATTGCAGCTCAATCAGAGACAAGCATGACAGAGGAAGGAGGGAGACCTAGAGGAAGAGGAAGAGGGAGGGGAAGAGAAACTGAGAGAGAATCAGGCAGGGCGGCAATTTTGGACCCTGCAGACCAGAAAATGGTATGAGTAATTTACAGTACACAAACAGATCTGTACTATCCCAGTAATAAAGCATACAGCAACGCAGATATCTCGCTACCTGCACTTCGTCGACAACACACGCTTACCTTCACAGAATGAGCCTGGGTACCATTGTCTGCAGAAGGTTCTCCCCATCATCACACACATGAAGTGGAAGTACAAGGAGAATTACAGCCCTCACCCCCAAAACAGTGTTGACGAGGCGATGATCGGCTACAAGGGTAAAAAACACAATCTGTTCACAAATACACCTATGCATGCACACAGGTCGGTCCTCCATGATTCAGTACATGCCCATGAAGCCTACGAAGAGGGGATTCCCGACGGAAACAACATGCTAGTGCTGGCTAGCTGACAGATCGTGACACCACATTACAACGCGAAAGACGTGTATATAGCTAACTCTAATTATAGCACACTTCTCTGAAGACAAAGCGGCACTACCCACCCTGAACACAAAATGGGGCTCACACAAAACAGAATACAATCTCAGACACCCTTCAAAACAACGGCACCTACAAATTCAGACACTAGTTCGAAATTCAGTCAGTGTGTTAGAAAGTCATATGCTACCTGCGTATTACAATGACATACCTTGACCACTGGTTTTCCTGAACTCCAAGAAGAGTCAAAAGCTTCAGATGAACTCTCCGTTGCAGCGAAAAACACACACACGAGCGTCTTCTCCATTCCTAGCCCTTGCGTATAGCGCGAATTGCAACGCGGAGGGTGTGGCAACGCGCTGTTGCGCATTGCGCGAAATACGCATGCGCGTAAATACGTTACGTAAAAATTATATTCGACCCCAAAGAGTTAAGGAGTTCAATATTAAGTGCCAGGGGCAAAGGTTTTTTTGTGGACCAAAATTTCCATATCTACTGGAATTAGTGGTGGTATGTATTCTGCAGCCGACTGGGGCTACATCTTCCTGACAGGGTGGAGGGAGAGAAGAGCCAAGCGAGATGGCTGGCAGAGTCTCAGGTTCTGGAAGTCACTCTCCACCTCAACAGACAGTACGAGGACCTAAACATGTGAACTCATGCTCTTATCTACTGCAACATCATCACTTGTTTGACTGCACATAAACAGCGGAGCTCTCATTATGTCAGGAAGTCAGTTTTAGTAAATTGGAGCTCTGGGTGGTCTCGGGCTGGAAGTCTTCCTGAAAACAACCAGGCTTGATTATAAGCGTGTACATGACAGTAGCCTTAACTCACGGGGTCATAAATTACTTTGAGAATGAGGGAACAACTAGGACATTCTGCTATCTCTTCTCCATTCTCCAGAGCTTCCTGACAGACGCTTTAGCGTGACCAGAAGTGTGGGGAGAGGGTATGGGTTACCTTAGTGATCTGGAACAGGTCCCCGCACGGACAGGGGTAGTAGTATGTCCGTGTCTCGTCATCGAACTCAAAGTCTTCTATTTCCACTTCGTCATGAAACACTGACATCGTGCGGATGTGGTGTGCGCATGCGCGGAAGCTAAGTGCCGAGTACGAGTGTGTGTGCGCACTGGAGACCGACCAGTGGACGACGAGATCGAACACAGAATAATGGCTCTTCCAGGTAATGATTTGTGTGTGTTTGGCTGTACTCTAATGCAGATAAATGCGCACAGTGCGTAAATCTCGCAAGGCCAGCAGACCTGGGAGAATGGGGTAAGGTGAAAGTCACTACTGGCTCTAGTTACTAGTGAGTCATTGGTTTCTTGCTACAGACCTACCTGGTCAGGGAGGGAGAGAGAAGGAGGGGGTGATGAGGTAGTTACAGAGGCTCAGAGGCAACTGAGGGAGCTACTTGGTCGACAAATGGACACCTCAACCTTCTCTCTCCAGAGGTACAGCTCATCTTGTTGGCTGGTGATGAAGTTTGCTGTTCCACAGGACACTAAGAGCTGCAGACTCCATGTTTACTTCTCCTGTAACTTACCAGGCACAGGAAGTGGGTGTGGCCCCACTGAGATCAGTACAAGGTTACCGTAGTGACCAGAAGGCCTTCCAGACCAGTAACAATCTGAGGGAGGCGGGGCTTAGTGAGAAGGAGGTGGAGATGGTGCTGGGGGCAGAGGGAGGAGGAGGGAGAGTGAAGGTGGAGCCCAGTGCCATGCAGGGCAGGATCTCGGCTGTTCAGGAGGTATATACCCCTTTGACAGTCTGCTGTCTTGTGACTAACGAGAGGGTGTGGTCAATGTAGAAGTTGTCGGGACATGTAGCACAACTGAAGGAGATGGGGGGTGTGGCCAGTGGAGTGCTGACCATGAGCAGACATGCGTGGGAGTTAGAGCAGAGTCTGCACCGTTGTCGAGAAGACCAGACAGCTCTGCACCATCTTGTCACTCACAGTCAGACCTCCACCTCTTCTACTCCATGGTCCTCAGCTTCCTTTGTGGTAATTGTGTGTTTTCTGCAGACAGAACACGAAGTCCAAGAACCATAGCTGCCTTCCCAGCTAAGTGAGTGGCAAAAACGACCTTTGGTTTAGTTGGTGTCTAGATTACTACCAGGAAAAGAGGGAGATGAAGAAGAGGAGAATGAGGAGGAGAGAGAGACGGGAGTCACTGCACATGGAGCCACTGTACAACCTCTTCCACTGCAGCTGATTGAAAGGAACCGCTTGACGCCAGAGCAGATAAAGAAACTCCCACATTTTGCTAACTATTCCTCAGGCAATCCCAGCTCAGTGAGTGGTGTGTTCTCACACGTCACATTACTTGCTGCAACTGGTGTCCATAGGTTCTATACATCAAGAACATTCATCGCAAAACTACCCTTGACGATCTCTCAGCTATTTTTGGTCACTGGCAAGATGGGGTGTGGCCTAAGATCAGACTATTAACTGGTCGACTTGGTGGACAGGCTTTTGCCGAGTTCCAAGGTTTTTCTCTCCCTCTCGTGTCGTGTCATGTTTATCACTTCGCCATTTCACCTTCAGATGTAGGTGTGGCTTCAGAAGCCCTAGAGGCAGTCAATGGATACGTAGTTCGTGAAAAACCACTTGTCATTTCTTATGGACATCAACAATCACAACACAATCAGGCACATTAGTCGCTAACAAATCACCATTATTTTATCACTTCACATGCCATTGTAAGCTGGCCCACCAGCCTCAGGAGGCACCCAGTTAATGTTCTGACTGGGGCACTTGATGTCACATGTCTTACAGTGGATGCAGTTCTGAGCATTGATCTGCAGCCGCATGCCGTCTTCCCCGTCCTCTCGAGGGACAAACTCATAAACTCCAGCAGGACAGAACAGCTGTTCTGGTCCACCAAACACTGCCAGGTTCCTGTCAACTGGGACTGTGTCGTCACGCAGAGTCAGGTGAGGTGGCTGATCATGATCGTGGTTTGTACCTGCAACCATCACACGCTAGTCACTCCCAACCTCTGTCACAAACCAACCAACCTACCTGTGAGAGCTACGGAGGACAAAAGATCAAAGCTTATCTTCCCATCAGGCTTGGGGTAGTTCCTGGGTTGGCAGCAACTGGCCTCCATCAGGTGGGTGTGGTCAGCTCCGTGGTGTCGTAAGGTCCAGGGTTCGCGACCTCTCATCAAAAGCAGAGACACTCCAGTGTATAGGACTCCTCCCAGATTCCCGAGTCTTGAGGAGAACGAAGGTCGACTGTTCCTCACTCTCCACAGTTCCTGCCACACCCAACTCCTCTTCAACTGCTCCTCATACGAGGCCAGCAGAACACCTAGAGGACAAAGAAGGTGGTAAAAGAAGTTGTAAGAAAAAGAAAAACGGCAACCACAGGATTCGAACTCAGGACTTTTAGTTTGGCAACACACGTTACCACCACTATGCTGCAGTCAACAATACACACGCTATGATTTTTAGTACAGTTGCTAAACAGACTGGTACCATTGGAGGAGGTCTGGGAGAGAGCCTCAAAGGCACATTCTGCAGCTAACATCCCACTCTTCATGGCAGTGTGGGTGCCTTTGATCTTGGGGACATTCATGAACCCAGCAGCACAGCCAATGAGAGCTCCTCCGGGGAAGGCCAGCTGTGGAATACTCTGCAAGCCTCCTTCATTCAGAGCTCTTGCTCCATACCCCACTCTTCGCCCTCCCTCCAGGAGCCTGCTGATGTGGGGGTGGTGTTTCCACATCTGCACATTGGGTGGTGAGTTTAGGATGAGAAGAGAAGGGAAGTGGCAGACCTGAAACTCTTGGTAGGGACTGACATATGCGTTCTTGTAGTCCAGTCCAACCTTTGACATGGGAATAATGGTTTCATCAGACACCAGAGCTTAACTTACAACATAGCCGATTGCAACAAGAGGTGTGTCCCCTTCTTTAAGATGGTAAGTGAAGGAGCCAGCATACATGTCATTAGGCTAGAATAAGAAGTCAGGGGTGATGGTGGGCACTATCTAGAATAAGGACTACTTACGGCAGGCCAGCCAATAGTGTGCTCGATGTGTCCAGGGAAATGTTTCGCTGGCTCCACCTCCCACAGCTGTGGACATGACAACAGAATGAATTAACATTCGCTAGTAGGAAGGAAAGTGCTCAAACCTCCTTGAGCCCCAGGCCGTAAGTCTGTGGCTGGCAGCTGTGTCGAAGGTTGAACTGGTGGAAGAGAGACTTGGTGAGGGAGCCATGGCAACCCTCACCAAAGAGAGTGAGTCTTGCATGCAGCTCCATTCCTCGGGCAAAGCCAGCCTGCAACACAAACAGCCTCTGTTGAGGGGAAGGAAATGGATCAATCATCACTACTAGCCTTTGGTGAGCCGTCCTTTGCAATTCCCTGGTCAACAGTGGCCACTCCTTTAACACTGCCGTCAGAATGGTAGAGAACCTCAGAGGCAGCAATGCCAGGATACACCTCCACCCCTGCCTCCTCTGCCTGCTCCCCCAGCCAACGAACTAAGTGCCCCAGACGAACTATATAGTTGGAGCCAGGGTTGTGCATGGGAGTACCTGTGCAGGGGGAAGAGCAGTGACACTGATAACTGGTATAGGTACCTGGACTAACCCCTAGGAACAGGGAGAGGGATCCTGTGAGATTTTGTGAGCAGAGAATATCTGTCCTTCACCACTGGTGTGTGCAGTGGGGCCTGCCAGAGAGTCAAACAAACCAGTAGTGAGATGTGTTCATCTTCCACCCACCCCTCTCTCCTTCCAGTCTGGAAACAGTTCCTTCAGTGCCCGTGGCTCAAGCACAGCTCCAGAAAGAATGTGAGCCCCTGTGCGGAGAGAATAACTGGCACCATTTCTCCCCTGTCTCACACCACTCACCAATCTCTGGAGCTTTCTCCACCACACAAACTCTCACCTCCTCCCCTGCCTCACACGCCAGCTGCTTGAGACGAATGGCAGCAGAGAGTCCTGCAGGTCCTCCTCCAACTATCACCACATCACACTCGTCACTCTCTCGGCCCATGTCCACATCTGGGTGGACGACGGAGGTCAGAAAGAGGCACATATCTGAAAACCTCACCTGCCCACCTCTCATCCTCCTCTCTAGCGTTCACTGAAGGATGGGTGGTGATCTTTGGGTGACTGGCCACGCCCACAGCGGTGTGGAGAAGACTGCGGGTCCTATAACCGCAGGCTACAGACATGTAGTATAAGATAATAACTCATAAAAATCATTTACAAGGTTCGTCTAACCTCTCGGCCGCAGCAATACTCCCAAACATCGCTCTGCTATCATCTTCTTCGTCTCCTTGTTTGCGCATGCGCAGTGGAGAGCGTGTGCGCGCATGCGCCAACAAAAGGAATGAGATGTTGGGACCTCTGAAGACTTTGCTGGGGACTCGGCCAGTTGTGCTGGCCAGCGCCTCTCCTCGCCGACGCCAGATACTGCAGGACGTCGTATGTTGTGTGCGGAGCTTCTGGCTAGAGCGAGAATTGTGACTCTCTCATTGCAGAACTTCCCAGTGGAAATAATTCCCTCTCATTTCGAGGAGACGCTAGACAAGGCTGCTTTCCCTCAGCCGTGGAGGTCTTTTTTTGTTGTGTATGTCGTTGCTATATCACCTCCAACCAAATTCTTCTAACCTCCAGGTATGTGGAAGAAACAGCTTTGGGGAAGGCAAAGGAAGTTGCAGGGAGGTTGGGAGACAGACAAGACTGGGCGGTAGTGATAGGAGCTGACACGGTGGTGGTGAGTGTTTCTCTGTCCTCTAGTTGATGGGAACTCTCTGCCTCCCCAGGTACTGGACAACAAGATTCTGGAGAAGCCAGGGAGTGATGCTAGGGCTAGGGAAATGCTGACCAGGTGTGCCCACCCGTTCACAGGGAACACAGAGGTATGAGGTTCTTCTCTGTAGTTTGAGTGGAAGACAGCACACTGTGTTCACTGGGCTGGCGTTGGTCTGGAAAGGAGGAGAGAGAGTTAGTCACGAGGCGACACTAGTCTCCTTTGCACCCCTCACTCCTCAAGTCATTGACAGCTATTTATCGTCAGGAGAACCACTGTGAGCCTTCCTTACCCACTCCACCATCACCTCTTCTCCTTTTTACCCCTTCCTCTAGTGACAAAGCTGGAGCGTATCCTTGAGCACACCCACTAATCTCCACCCCACTCTCAGCACCCCATTTTCCTCAGCCAGACCTGAGCTCAGGTATGGCATTCAGGGAGAAGGAGGGACTCTGGTGGCCAGGATTGAAGGAGACTATTTCAATGTTGTTGGACTACCATTGCACAGGCTCTGCTGTGAACTGTCTGCTGTTCTGCCTACCATCCTCAACTCCAGTAGCTAACACTAGTTTAATATTATTTCCACTCAATTTTGAAATTGTTGACGTTTCATGGGTGCAAGCACTATACACTGCTAACTTTCATGTTCACTTTTCCCAGATTATTTCCAAATTCTACATAATGTAGTATATATGTATAATATATTGGGTACTGGTGTGGCTGTGCGACAGTATGTGTGGCTAGTCATCAGAGTCACTGGAGTCAAGTGCTGAGTCCCTGATGGTTTGCTTGGAGTGAACTGACAACTGTTTCTTGCTGGCTGGCAGAGGAGGCTCCAGGAGGTTACCAGAGTAGTCAATGGCTCCTCCACAGCCCAGCCTCCACTCTAGTAGATCAGTAGAGAAATCGTCTCTACCTCCTAGCTCATCAAACCCTGCAGCACACATTGAAAATGCTACAGTCCCAAAGTTTCTACCACTTTAGGCACTCGGGCTGGCTACGACGCCTACGAGAGGTGGTGAACTCCTACCTAACACTCATAATACAACATTATAAAAACGCTGAGGCAGGGATCAATCTGTGGACCTCATGATTAAGACTGTGGGTGCTAATCCATCAGACCACACCCAATACTTGGCAGCAGCAAGTTCAATACTCACCATATGAATTCTTGACACCCACATGCATGCGCACGTGTACCGTAGCATGCATCCCAAGGGTTCATTATAATATAGACCTTTGATAAAGTCCTTTGTTTTACCATCCACCACTAGTCCAATAGTCGGTAACATACGTATCTTCAGTCTCTCACAGAGAAATGGTGCTCTCTCTACACTTAGTTTCACAAACCTAGCAAGAACACGAAATGATTTGCTTTACCCTCCGAAAGGGGTGTGGCTAACCTGGTCTCCAGGTGACGAGTGGCGAGCAGACTGAGGTGCTTGTCGACTATCTTACAACGAAATGTGCTCTCCCGAAAAAAATGACAGACAACCTTTTCACTTTTCTTGCACACCTCAAAAAACTCCTTTTCCTCTGCAATCTCTGAGTAGACTCCATGTCCTTGCGTCTTCCATTCCTCTCGCTGCGTGTGCCATTGTAGCTAACACACTTACGTCAATATCTGGTTACCTGTTTGGTCTCTCGTTTCAACTGTTGCAGACGCTCTTCCCTTAACCGACCAAGTCCCTCCTCGTCCAGGTTTTCTAGCCTCTGAATCTCGGTGTCCACGACATCTTCCACGGCCGTCACTGCTGCAAGAACGCCAGCTGCCACCGCCGACTCCGCCATTTCTCCGCCCCTCGTTAAGGGTCGCGACCTTTCCATAAAACACCCGATACGGAAACTTCCGTTCAGTGCGTCACTGGAAACTCGCGGGAACCTTTTCCGTGTGCACTGTGGAAAGATTCCCGGTAGATCTACGTTTGCAATTTAACCCTTTCCCGCCCTTCCGTCAACGTGGTCCGTTAGTCAGCTTCTCCCCCGGCCAACGGCTGCCGTCGGCTCTGCGAGACATGTCTGCTACCACTAGAGAATGTCCTTTTCCCGACAGCATAAATTGGGACTCTTCTATCCCTATATGCAAGTGGAATGACGGGATGGGGCGAAAAACAGCAGAGAAACTATTTCAGAAGAGCTGGTTTAGTGCGAGTAGTATTCCTGGTGAATATCTGGCCTGGGTTCTAGGTTCCCAGTGAGTGTGTGGGCCTGAGTTCCTACAGGTTCCTCAGTGGTTTAGTGGCTAGGTTCTATATGTTCCCCAGTGACTGTGTGAACCTGGGTTCTAGGTTCCCCAGTGGAGTGTGTGGGGCCGAGTTCTAGGTTCCCCAGTGAGTGTGTGGGCCTGAGTTCTAGTTCCCTCCAGTGAGTGTGTGGGCCTGAGTTCTGGTTCCCAGAAGTGGTTGGGCTGAGTTCTAGGTTCCCCAGTAGTGTGTGGCCTGAGTTCTAGTCCCGTAGTGTGGCCTGAGTTCTAGGTTCCCCAGTAAGTGTGTGGGCCTGAGTTCTAGGTTCCCCTCCCGTGGTTTAGTGGGCCTAGGTTCTAGGTTCCCCCAGTGAGTGTGTGGACCTGAGTTCTAAGGTTCCCCAGTAAAGTGTGTGGGCTGAGTTTAGTTCCCGTGAGTGTGTGGGCCTGAGTTCTAGGTTCCCCCGTGGTTTAGTGGGCCTGGGTTCTAGTCCCCAGTGAGTGTGTGGGCCTGAGTTCTAGTTCCCCCGTGTATGGGCTAGTTCTAGTTCCCAGTGAGTGTGTGGGCCTGAGTTCTATAGGTTCCCAGTCAACCTCTTTGTAGGTTGTTTTTCACTCCTCTTTTTAGTATGACGAGTGGATGGTCTTGGCTCAACGGCTGCTGTGGCTTTCCATAAGGAGTATGCACACTGCACAGATCATATGGCACATCTGCCCACTGTGGAGACATTCACCC